AATTACTTCTCTCTCTCTCTCTCTCTCTCTCTCTCTCTCTCTGTTATTTTTGCTTTATATATAGTTTTAAATGTATAATACTAACATAGCATTGTACGTTAAAACAAAAAGTTTCTTAATTATAAACATTTTTGTAATTAATATTTTTTTATGAAATATACAACATAATCAATTTATATTAATTAATGAAATTATTAATTTATTTTAACATGCGCACAAAAGTAAGTGAACTATTATAAAATAAAAATTATAAAATAATTTTTATATGTAAATATATGTTGTGTCTTTCACAAATATTTATATTCTTTTTAAATTATTAGTTCTATATTCATTTTTAGATTCATATCTGGTGCCTTCTGGAGCAATAATGCAAATCCATATTTTCGATATTCATAGAGATCCCAATTTCTGGCCAAATCCAGATGTATTTGATCCAGATAGATTTTTACCTGAGAAAATTCAAAAACGTCATCCTTATTCCTATTTACCGTTTAGTGCAGGATCAAGAAACTGTATAGGTAACGTATAAGAAATAAATCTTTTTATTATATAAACAACAGATTTTAAGGTATTTAAAATCAAAAAAATAACAGGTCAACGATTTGCCATGTTGGAGATGAAAACTGTAATAGCAGCGTTAGTAAACAATTTTTACTTGGAATCCGTTGATTATTTGAAGAATCTTCGATTCAAGTTGGATATGATAACTCGCGTTACACATCCGATTCGTGTGAAATTTGTTCCCATTAAACACTCCTAATCATTTAAATGCAACAATTTTGTTTGTATTAATATTTTTTAATAATTTAATAAAAATTTTTTGTTTTATTTTTAATGCTATTTATACGTATATAATATGGTACGTTATAATGTGGTATAAAAACATATATTACTAAATAATTATAAAAACATATATTACTAAATAAAAATTATATTTTATAAATAAATTTTAATAATTAAAATTATTCCGAACATTTTCCTTTTTAGATTTAACTAAATATATCTTAACATTATACATGTCATTTTAAAAAAAGTTTATTTTAAAATATTATATTTTAATTAATTTAAATTTTAAATGATTAACAAAATATTAAGAAAATTAATTAAAAAGATAATTAAATATTAAGCTTACTAAAAAGTAATTATAATAGATATATAATATAATACATATACAATAATAATAAGCGATATAATGTGATAACTCAAAAAACAAATTATGGTCAAGTCTGAAAAATATTAATTAAGTATTCGAAAAAATGGTTGAGATATTGTAATTTTACAACTAAAAGTAGAATACATCATGTAATTATAATCTAGATCACGACGCGGCGTCTCCAAAATTAATTAAACTTTATATAAACGGCTAATTTTTTTTCTGAAGTCTACTTATTAATGTTAAAATATTAATATGTTTGTTTCTAAGTTATAAGAAAGATATATAAAGTATTAAAAAAATAAGAAAAAAAATATTTTGATTTTAAAGTAAAAATATCATAAAATATGTTTAATAGAAACTATGTGGTTATTAACCCATTAATGTTTTTATATGTATTAATATTGTAAGTTTTACAATATTTTAAGTAAGTTTTATTTATACAATGCAATTGACTTTTAACTGTTGATCATTCAAAGAACATTCGAATGAGCGTCGATTTGATATTTTGTTTGTTTGTCCATTTCGCATGAAATTTGTCCCGATATCCGAGAACATTGATAATTGACAGGTATTTAAAACAAATATACATTCAAATAATCAAAATACTTTATAATATATATGATATTTATACGTTTTGAACAAAAGAAAATCACGTTTGTTTGCGCATAAATAGTTCTTATTGCAAAATATTAGTTATAAAATTGTTTTTGTAAGTTAATGTTTAATGTACACACATATGTACAAATAAAATAATAAAAAATTGCATTTTTATAAAAGATATAAAAATATATAAAAATAATATTATCGTCATGTAAACATTATAAATCATTTATTTTATATCTTTTTATGCTATTATTAATTATCACCTATCTATTCATCATCCTATCAGATGGACATGTTTATGAACTTAAGTTTAAATAAAAATCTTAGGACATACTTCATTTCTTTCAAATGACTGACTCATGTAAAAAAATATAGATCCTTTGTATCATTCATGTATTGTTCGTATGTATTGCTCTTATACAAGATACTCTGTCTTGTCTTTTGATATCATAAAAAAGCCTCTTTGAAAGAAGAAAAGATTTATGAACAATATTTTTATTTAACAGTCATCATTTTAATTATTTTAACTATATCTCTCTTTTAAAAACAATTAATTCTCTTTTTATTTGATAAAATATTGCAAACACTTGCGCTATATGTTTCATGCATATGCATCATATGTTTTTTAGGAAACAATACGAGAATTCAAAGAAAATTTATAAATATAGACATAACATTTTTAATAGAATATTTGGTTCAATTTTGATATTGAGTTCTTTTGAATTTTAAGTTTTCTTAAATTTAAGAATCAAAAGAAAAAGAGACCTCTCATAATTCTAATAATTCTACAAAACATAAGTTGACTGACAATTAATCTTGGAAATTAGTGAAATGTTATAGAGGAACTTCTAAGAGTTAAATGATAAATAAGTATTAGAGATGAGCGTTAGAGATTATCATAATTTCATACACTTTCTTTATTAATAAATAAAATTCTGTTTTTTTGCTTAAATAATATATAATGTTGATTATTTTCAATCGTAAAATGCGTGATAATTGATGACTGAACAATAAGCAAAACATTTTGATTATCTAGTTTGATATAATCTTGGAAGATTTATATAATTTATAAATATAAATTATATAAATACGAGTCTCGAAATTACATTATCAGTTTGTGGACATTTATTGCGCAAACATATGCTTAAATTTATAATTAAGTTGTAAATATTTTACACAGTTACAATTAATTGTCAAAATCTGTTAAAACGTCAATATTTACACAAAATAAAATTTATTAATATTTTATGTCACAATTTGCTTATCATAATCATAATCATAATGTGTATAATTACAAGAAAACTAATCAATCTTATATAAAATTATGTTTTATTATATAATAAAATTATATAATAAAATGTATCAAATAGTTTATATGAAATTTCTTTTGTGTGTGTATACATGTATGTATATGATATACACATATGTATTTTTCCAAATAAAATTGTTATGTGTATAAAAAAAATAATTCTAAATACATATATCTTCTTTTATTATTATTTATTTCTAATGCTACAAATATAATCAATAATTTAAATTTATTATTCATAATATCATTTTATTCCATTAATATTGGTTCAAAAATGACCCAAAATGTTCAGATTTATTATTATTATATATTTTTAATATAAAATAAGTATATTTATTAAATATTTGCGCACCGACAATGTTTGATTTTCCTTTATATGTTTTTTTATAACATTTTTAAGAATTTTGTAATAAAAAGTATAGACTAATATTGCGAGTGTGAAGAGAACTCGAAAGAAAAACACAAAAGATCTGAGATATCACATATATTATTTTATAAAGTCGACACGAGCCTTCTTTGTTCATTGGCTATTAATAATCTTTTTTCTCAATTCTTTTGATTTTCCATCGTTTGCCTATTTGTCTAAGTTGTTTGAGACTTTATTGGCTCTCTGGACGGATCGCTAGGCTTACGCGCGATTATTAGTTTTATTTTTCTACGCAAAT